CGAGAATATTAATATATGCTGCCAAGTATCGTTCTCGAACCCGTGTACCCCTCCGGGCGTAATCTGGACATAGTCGCTATGTTCCTCGATCGATCGATCGATCGATCGTGTACTCGTAATTTCGTCCCGTCCGTAATCACGGCCGGTTTACCGTCTATGACGTCACGCAGAGTTAATCGACCATGAGAGCGGTAAATGCGCCGCGTATGATGCGTTCGAATCCGTCGTCATGCACTCTCGATCGTCATTCTCCTTCGCTCTCGATTGATCAGGCAAGGAGCGAGCTAACGTAATTTCTTTTTTTCATTCTTATACGTGATGTCTGTGAATGACATGATCTAAATTTTACGACTACCTTCACGTAAATATCTTTTCTAAACTTCGACGGTACAATAGCGCACCCACCGGCGCATTGAAATGGGATTATATTCGAGAGATGACATTTGAGATTTATTGAAGTGTGTTAATACTGCCAAGTCAATATCTGCAGTTTCGCAGTTTTGCAGTTTTAGTATATAATTAGAAAAATATGTGTTATTATTCATATTTTCCGTTCAGCAATTTTTTTAGTGTTTTCCAATTTTATATACTGGAAAAACATACTGTGTGTTATTATTCATACTTTTTGCTCAGACAGAAAAAAAGATTATATTTGCAATTTTTATCAATTTTCCAGTCTGGAAAATATTACACGCGAACATTCCTATGTAATAAAACGCGCGTTGATGTCGTATTAATGTCAGAGCTGACATTTTAGCTAAACGGCCGGAAATAGGTCGTCCGAAAATTATGCATTTCCATAAATCTTTGGCGTAGCGCTAGGCAACGATAGATCTGTAATTCATGGGCCTGCGGAATCTATATTTGCGCTCGGCCTACAATTACCCGTAACATGCTGCAATGTGCGATGGCATAATGAACAACGTTGTCCCAATATCGATCAAACACACTATTTTCATTCGCATTGTCCGCCGGCGCGGATCCGATTTATATTACAATCTTGATGAACTGTTGTCGTTCAATCTTTCGCCCAATGTCTTGCATTAGTTATTACCTGCGGTACCAACCCGATTTATTTGCAGTAGAGGGCGGACAGGCGCTCACGATTGATTGCGTGGGCAAGTAAGAACAAAAGAGATGATTACGCGCGAAGGCATTTTACATACTCTCCTGGTCTTACGGTCACACGCGAATTGATTTCGAAATTCGGATTTGTGTTTTTTCCGAAAACGAAACACTTCATTCTCCGTTCTTTCCGAAGAAATAAATCGTCAAGATTCGCGCATCTGTTACGCATATGTCACATTAACAAAGTCCGAAATTGGAATGTTTTAACGGAAGACCGGAAAACGAAAATATTGACTCGCGACATTGAGTATCTCCTTGAGCCTTCACCTTAAACAAATGCTGGCTATTTTTTTGGCGCGAGAATTCGGTTATAATTACTTCGATCGAAGAATATCTTGTTACGTGAGTATAAGTGGGACACGAGCGTTTGATACGCGAGACCTCTTTCCAAACAAATAAATCATGAGATTACGCTTCGATTAGCTTTCCTCCTGACATGTTTTTGCGATCGCGCCATAAAGGCAATGTACTCTTGGCTCGTCTAAACGAAAGACGAACTTTAAGCGAACGAAGATGCGTAGCGGAAAAAAAGCGCCGTTAGCTGTTAATAAAACACCGGTTTGAGATGGAATCTAAGTCCGGGGCGGACACAATGGCGAGTCGCCGTGTTAGAGAGAACATTACATCCGTGTACATTACATCCATGTACCTATATCCTTTGTGGCCGCGAATTAACTGTATCTTATGCGCGACTCCGCCCCCGCTCCCTCTCCTCTTTTCCCCCTCTTCCTGTCTGTAAAACGGTCTGCAAATCTGGGCTGAATACTAACTACCGTATGCGGCGTAACGAGCATAAGTGACTTGAGGAAGATTCATAACGAAATAGGTACGAGGGAAAAGAAGGGAAATAGACGCGAGCGAACCGCTAGTAGAACCGCGGGGATTTTGTTGCCGAATTATGAACTATCAGATAATTAATCACGCCAGTCTGTCACGCGGTTGAGCTCGCTACGGTGGGAGAAGCGAAGGAATTCGTCTTTTCAATCAAATCCATATAAAGCTGATCTAGATACGTCAATCATCCGCGATATAAATGCACGAAATGGATGAAATGTCAAGGAAACAAGCGAAATATTGTCGTGCATAAACGAAATTTCACATCGGGGTTACAATAATGAATGAAGATTGAATATTACTCTTAACGAGCCATCAAGGGCTCATATCGCTCGGTTGAAAATGAAAATTTTCATATAAAATCGCATTTAACAGTTTATTCGTGCATTCTGTTATTTGTCAATTAACTCGTAACATTTTCAGAGCGGAAAATTTAGGACATTTTTAATATCATATTAAATACCTCGCGAAAATAATGTAACGGTTTTCGATCGATGGAACAGTTTTTATTTTTGTTCCATTTTATTTTCGCGGATACATTTTTCGTGTGATCAAATTAGCCTTCTCCCGACGTTGATCCCGCAAAGATGATAACTCAAGTGCTTTCGATTAAATAAGAAGAGTGGGCGTAAGAATTGTGCGAGGGTGGGACGCGCGGTAAACATTAACCAAATAAAAATCAGATCGATTTAGACGCGATAGCACGTATGTACATATTTACACACATTCGTATTTGCATTACGACTCGATCGTCATTCTGCGATCGAAGGTTAACCATCGAAGGGTGAGAGCTCGACTGCCTGTCGGAGCAGGTGTTAACATACATAACGGAAA